GGCTCAGTTGGTTAAGCGACTGCCTTCGGCTCAGGTCATGATCCTGGAGTCCCGGGATCGAGTCCCGCATCAGGCTCCCTGCTCGGCAGGGAGCCTGCTTCTGCCTCTGACCCTCCCCCCTCTCATGTGCTCTCTCTCTCTCATTCTCTCTGTCTCAAATAAATAAATAAAATCTTTAAAAAAAAAAGATCATTCTGGTTGCCATGTGGAGAATGACTATGGAGGGACAGGGCAAAGTAGGGAAACCAGTAAAATTTACATTTATGATGTGAGCCCTGTAGACAGTGGACTCCTTTTATTTAAGATTATATTTGAGGCGTGCCTGGGTGGCTCAGTTGGTTCAGCATCGGACTCTTGGTTTCAGCTCAGGTCATGATCTCAGGGTCGTGAGATCGAGCCCTGCATTGGGCTCCATGCTAGGCGAGGAGCCTGCTTAATATTCTCTCTCCCTCTGCCCTTCCTTCCGCTTCCTCCCCTCCACCCAGCGCTCATGTTCTCTCTCCTTCTCTCTCTCTCAAAAAAAAAAAAAAAAAAAGATTATATTTGAGCAGAGATGGCAAACTCTTGATTTGTTTTTATTAGCCTCTCCTTTGGGGAGACTGAGTAATGTCTTCTCAGTGAACAGATAACGTCTAGAAAGGTTAAAAAAAAAAAACAAAAAAAGACGAAGCACAGTCTAAAGGACTGGATGCGAGGGGAGAATTCTGGAACGTAAAATTATAAAATGGCCCAGAATCGGTGGGGCCTTCTGTCAGGGTGACTGCACACACGGCCGTGCAGTAAGATTTCCGCCTTACAAGAAAGACCTCTTTTCCAAAAGGGACCCTTCTGCCTACTCTCAGATCCTTGAGAATTGTAAACATTGGACAAGGCTTTTTGTACCATAATTAGAAATGACGCTTAAATGAACACATGGGAAAACGTTACATGGAATGAAATCTTCACAAAAGTGGAATGATTTTTGTCAGAGCTGTCCTGTAGAGCATTTTGGGTGTTTTCATCCTTGATTACTCTTCTCATTAGCATAGCTCTGGGGAATATTTCCATCCATCTCCACAGCTTTGAAGGCAGACAGCACACTCAGCCCCATGAATTACTTGCTGTGCAGTCTTGGGCGAGTTCCCTAACCTCTCTGAGCTTTAGTTTCCGCTGCTGCTTTCAGGGGGACAGTAGTAGATTTTGGCCATGAAAGGCAGTTTGGTGTAGGAGACAGGTAGTGGCCTCAGATCAGACCTGGGTGGGCCTGGACCAAGTTTCTTAATCACGTCTTGGCTCCCTCGTGTGAAGTGGGAGCCTCGTGCTTCCTTCCGCTGCCATGGGGCCAGCACGTGAAGCCTGTGAGCAGAGGGCCCAGCACGTGGTGGCCGCCACCTTCCTGGTTCACAGTTGAGGAGACAAGACCCGCCCAAGGCCACGCCGCTGGCTGAGGTGGCCGCTCTGCACCCGAGGCCCTGTCCTGGTGACCTGCGCCGGCACGCACCATCCAGGCAGCCGCGGGGAGAGGGGCCCGTTCCCGCCCGCCCAGCTCATCCTCTGAGGCCCTGCTCACACCCGTCAGCAGGCGGGCAGAGGAGGAACCTCAGGCTTACGAGGGGGTGAGCCCACGGGAAGCAAGGCAGGCACTGGAACCCATTTAAGAAAAGTCAGGGTGCCCCTTGGAATCTTCCAGCAGGCCCCAGATTTCCACCGAGAGGGACGGCCGAGAGGGTGGGAAGTTTCTAATGATGGGTGTGCTTCCTGCCCATGCCAGTTAACGTAGAGGGCAGCCTGGAGCTGGAGACAGGAATGGGCCAGCTGGGCAGCAGGAAGCTTCGGGGGAGCTCCTGAGAGCCGAGGCCTCCGTAGCTGCTTCCCATCCGTGGGCTCGTGGAGCACCTCAGGCCGGCGTTCACCCCCGACCGCCTGCGGGGACACGCCAGCCCCATGCGGGCAGAGATGGTCATCCCCACGTTTGCCGTCTGGGTCTGGGTCCCCGGTGCCGGCCACCGTGCCCGGCACCCAGTCAGTACTCGCTGTGGGCGGGAGCTGCGCATCCAGGCTTCTCCCGTAATTGAGCACGTCGGGCGAGGCTCCCCAGGGTTCGGCCTCCCAAGAGCCTCCAGGGCTTCCGGCCACCTCAGAGCCTCAGGTGACCTGGCCGGCAGACTCAGGCACGTTGCCTGTTTGATCAGGGCCTTCTCTGCGTTTGGATTTTAGGATAAAATTACCCCTCACGGTGGACGAGATCGCCAGCTTCGGGGAGAGCAAAAGGGAGCTGTTTGTGCGGTCCAGCACCTACAGCCTCATCCCCATCACTGTGGCCGAGGCAGGCCTCACCATCAGCTGGGTCTTCTCCTCCGACCCCAAGAGTATCTCCTTCAGTGTGGTCTTCCGGGAGGCAGAGGACACGCCGCTGGATCAGTGTAAGGTGAGGCCGGCTCCCCGCCCGCAGCCCGCTTGCTCATACAGCAGGGTGCTTGGGCAGACCTTTCCCTGCGCAGGGCTGCGGCCATCCTGCCTCCTGCTGGGCGGGCCTCACCTGGAATGTGAGAGGGACACAGGGAGGAAGCAGGTGGGCAAGCCCTCTGGGCTGCGTCCCACGGGGCAGGCAAAGCACCTGGCCTTGGCCAGCATGGGGAGGGAAAGGCCTGGTGGCTGGAGAGCGCTGTCTTCAGGTGTCTGAAGGTTTGTTCCTGTGTCAGCTTCCATCTGACCTTGGGGCAGATCACTAGGTAAGACCTAGAGGATACAGACGTGCGACCCAGTTTAAGGATCATTTTTTACCAGAGCCATGCAGAGCAAGAATAGGTCACCGTGGAGGCGGTTATGAGCTTGGGGTGTTTGGCATCTCACCTCAGAGATGTCAGCAGAGACACCTTAGCCATTGTGTCACTTGGGTGGTGGGGCTTGAAGTCTTGGTGGCAGATTCCAGTTCATAAAGTCCTGAGACATTCTAAGCATGGAATGCTGATGATGGCCTGGACCATGGGTCCCAGTCTTGGCTACACATTCGAAATACTCCCAAGGCCACAGCCACACCACTCAGTCAGAATCCCTGGGGCTGGGACACAGGTGTTCCTAGGTGAGTCCAGTGAGCGACCAAGGTTGAGAGCCATGGGTCTAGCTCAAGGGATTAGAAGCCAGAGTAGAAAGGATAGGGTGGGATCCAGAGCCCAGGACAGAAGGTTGAGCAGGACTCGGTGGGTGGCTGACTCAGTGTGAGGGGAGGGGGGAGCTGGTTTGGGTGGAAACTCAAGTCCCATTTGAATCACTGTGGGTGGAAGGACCGGTGAGGACAGACAGGCCGGCCTGGAGCTTAGAGTGGACCTCAGGCTGCTATAGGTGCAGAAACTTCCACGTTCCGGCAATGGCGAGAAGCAAGGTGGGGGAGAGCAATTTGAAGTCACGTGGAAGGAGACTCCTGTGCAGTGTGTGTGAGAACATCCCTGAGTCCCTCCTGCGTGTGGGCCGAGGGCCGGGGTTGGGGGGCCCGGAGCAGAAGGCCCGCGGGCTCGGTGCAGTGCACATCTTCGTGCAGGGATGCGTGTCTGGCTTGCTCTCCTGCCATCTCCACCCTGTTGGTACCTTCTCGTAGAGACTGCTTTGTCATTTTTGTCCTCTGCAAATTCACTCCGAAAATTGAATTCTGGCCTCCTTGAGTTGGCCTTGTTTTGTGGAGTTTCGTGTTTATTCTTATTTAGAAACCGCTCTGCCCCTCCTTTCCTTTTTGGGGGCTCCGCACCATGTTCCCCGCTTGGAGCCCTTTCTGAGGTTCCGACCCTGCCCCCGGGAGGCTGATGTGGAGCAGGCCTCCGTCCTCGTTTGCAGACGGGGTAACCGAGATGCCCAGTGACTTGCCAGGGCAACTAGTCAAGCGGCAGCATAACCAGCATGCTTGTCAACTCTGCCCTGACAAGGAGCTCGCCTCGGTGCCTTGGCTGTTCGTCCTCATAGTCCCAAGGCCCACCGGGCACCAGCACCGCGTCCTCCCACACTGGACACTGGTGTCGGTGGCGGGGAGTGGGGGAAGGGACTCAATCCCGTGTCCAGGCCTTTGCCATGACACCTGCCCACACGTGGCCGAGCTGTGGGCCTCTCCCCTTGCTCAGTCACTCACCCACCAAATCCGCATGGCCCTGGGAGATCCACGTGGTTCCTACCAGGATTCGGGGCTTGGGCTCAGAGACCTGGAGGAGGAGCCTTCCTCATCTCCAGCTTCCTGGGGCCTCTGGGGGTCAGGACTACCAGTGTGTTTCTCAGAGTGGACACCAGGGGGCAGAAGGAGCCCATATACAGGGTGAGCAAGAAGGGCATTTTCAGGGGCCGCCTGCCTTCATAAGCCCTGCATCACCAGCCAGCCGTGGGGTGGCTGTTTTTTCTGCCTGAGGTCCCGGGAACAGACGTCAGCCTAGGAACCTGTTCCCAGAGGCACGTCCTCAGCATCTGTCTGGGGGACTCCCCCTGGGATCCCCTGACCAGCCTGGGCCTTACAGGAAACCACGTGCAGAGCAAGTGACAGCACTCAAGGGTATGATTATGGAAGTGTAGACACAAGGGGCTTGTGGTCTCTTCAGAGCCATCTGCTGAGCTTCTGCTCAACCCTGGGCTCTGTTGCGCCCGTCAGAGCTAGAAAGACAAGGGACAACGTGGCATCCGCCCTTGAGGAGAGAGCCCCTAGTGAACAGACGACCATGGTTCCAGATAGAGAGTGTCATGCTAGGCGGATGGGGGCAGCCATCGGGGGGAGGAGACCTTGGGCCAAACCGGGAGATACGCCCTGATAGAGGGAGCCGCAGGGACAAAGGCCAGCCCCATCTCTGAGGCACCCAGCAGACACTGCCCAGCCCCCAGGGCCACCTCCTCTCCAGGGTGCTTCCTCGGTCAAGGTCGCGTCTGAGCAGTGAGGTTAGAGGTTGTAAATTTAGGAAGACACTCGACTGAAGACACAGTCCATCCAGGACTTGAGGCTGCCCGTATACTGACCCTGTCCTGAAGCCTGGGGACGGAGCGCAGGGAACAGGACCCAGGCCCTGCCCTCTCTCCGGGCAGAGGACCCATGTTTGGCCAGAGAAACTCAACAGCCTGCCTGGGGCCGCAGGGAGTCGGAGGAGGAACCAGGACTGGGAGCAAGAACCCTTGCCTTTGTGGTTTTTTAGACAGCCTTATTGAGATGTAATTCATATACCAAATAACCGACCCATTTAAGATATAGTGTATTCACCGTGTTGTGTAACTGTCGCCATCTAATTTTAGATCGTTTTCATCATCCCCAAAGGAAACTATACCCATGAGCAGTCAGTCTGCAACCTCCACCCCCAGCAACCAGCAACCTGTTTGTGACTCCTTCTTCCATCGAGCCTAGAACCCTTGCTTTGCCCAGAGCCCCCGGCCACAGGAGTCCATCCAAATACCAATAAGACCAGCTTGGACTGTCTTGCAGACACATGTCATGACTGAGGCACTGGAGGCTGGTGGGAGGCGCTCCTGGAGCTCACCCAGCGGAGAACCCCTCATCTCCCTGCCACCTCAGCTGTGTGAGCTTTGGCACCAGGGAAGCTCTCCTAGATTTTGGCCATGGTGGGAGAATGGAGCTGAGATGAATGAAAAGTCTATAGTCTAGAATGTTCTAAGGAAATGAAGCATACTGTTTTAGACATACCCTCTTCCGAGGACCTGCCTAACGAGCTCTCGGTTGTTGCTTTGCAGTCAAGGTAGTAAATGCAGAGGTTGAGGTGTGGGGTGCCCAGACGCCCCTGTATAAACAGCAGACCTTCCTGTCCAGCGGCTCCTTCCCACTGGTGCTTGCTGGAGCGTCCAGGCTCAGAATTGTTAGATTACGGACCCCAGGAACAGACCCAACCTCGCAACCTCCAAGAATTCTCAGTCCTGGGTGGAATTAGAATACGATAGAACGTTAATGGAACGTAATGAGACCAAGCACAGAAGTGGCTAGCCCCAGGTCCTATCCATAGCGGGTCCTCGTGCATCTTTTTCCCCTCCAGGCTTGTCTCGGGCCCTTCCTACCCCCTCACCACCGCCAGCTCCCAGCCAGTGCAAATGTCCTGTGGTATCAGGAACACGCTGCACACGCTCTCTCCCATGCCTGTGGGATCTCCCTTTTGATGTTTGATCTCTCCTTGATCCATGTGTTATTTAAGAGTGTGTTCTTCAGTTTACGAATATTTTTGGTACTTTCCAGAGATCTGTTTATTTCTAATTTAATTCCATTGAATTCCATTGTCGTCAGAAAACAGACTGTATAACTGAATCCTTTTAAGTATGAGGTGGGTTTTTGTTTGTTTGGTTGGTTTTTTAATGGCCTAGAAGATGGCCTACCTGAGTGTTCCCAGTGCACTTGAAAAGCAGGTGCGTCCTGCCGTGGTCAGGTGGCGCATTCCATTAAGTGGCAGGTGGGTTGAGTTAGTTGATACAGTTCTTCGAGTTTTCCATTTTCTTACTGAGTTCCTGTCTATTAGTCCATTAATTATTGAGGGGTATTGAAGTTTACTCAACCATTAATTGTGAATTTACCTATTTCTCCTTTCAGTTCTACCACTTTTTGCTTCGTGTGTTTGAAGCTCTCATTAGGGGCATAAATGTGAAGGATTGGTCCATCCCCCTGATGCATTAATACGTTTATCATTATGAAGTTATCCCTGGCCACATCCTTTGATATAAAATCTATTTTGTCTGGTATTAATGTAGTCAATCCAGCTTTCTTTGGATTAATGCTACCACAGTATATCTTTTTACGTGCTTTTACTTTTAACTTATTTGTATCTTTATATTTAAATTGTCTCTTCTTCTGGGCATGATGGGGTTGGCAAAGATGGATCATCTTTGCCTTTTATTTGGGGTGTTGAGACTATTTATATTTAATGTGCCTATTGATCAGGTTAGGGTTGAGTCTGTCATCTTACTGTTTGTTTTCTGTTTGTCCCATCTGGCTGTTCTCCTCTCAAAATGGTGAGCTGGGGCAGTTGTGGCGCTCACCTTTTCCCTCAGAGAACACTCTCCTCCATTGCCTGATGTCCAGTGTCTTGTATATTTTGTCTATTTTTGGTTATCTCTTGGGAGAGTAAATCTTTGCTCTTATCCCATGTCTTTGAATATGTTTTCCCCTCTGCCTGGGACACCCAGACCTCTCTCGAGCTACCTAACTTGTCCATGCTCAGTGTCACCTCCTACAGGATATCTTCCCTCACACTGTGCCTCTCTCCCCTCCTCCTCCCCCCCGCCCCCCGGGGCTGGGATGGGCACCCCTCCCGGTTGTCCCCTCGTGACATGCTCACTGTTATTGTAACTGAATGGTTTTTTGTCTGCTGTCTCTGTTAAACCACAAGATCTTTGAGGGCAGAACCTTTTGTGGAAACTTACTTCACTTTGGGAACTCTGTGGCCAACGTGTAGGGTTTCCAGAAACGTACCTATGTATTCAAGTGTAAGTTGAAAAAGCCATCACATCGTTAGAAGCATTTTGGATTCAGTCATTTTGTGCAGGGTGAAAAATGTTTAAAAGGAATAGATAACGGAATTTCACAAAGTTGTGTTTCTGAGAAAGGAGCAGCACTTGATTTTGTAAAGAATAAAGATGCTCACTTGTGGGGCAGCTCCCCACACTAGGAGCTCCGAGTTGCTAAGGTGTTAGCCGTGGTCTGCAAAGCCTCTGATCTGTGTGACCATTTACGTGTAGTCAGCCCTACGTGGTCAGCTTAAGGATGCTTTCTGAGACCACACCCACTGGGGCATTGATCATTTCTAAAATCTTTCTGAATTTTGGTTGGCTCTGTCTTGTTTCCCATTTCCTCATTTCCTATCAGATGCTCTGAACTGACTGAGCCAGCCAGGCACCCCTCCATATCTTCAGTTTTAAACTGTGTCTTAGTTGGTCAGCAGGTTGCAGACGTTGCCCTCATGGGAAAGACTGGCCATCCGGAGACCCCCACACACACCCTGGCCCCGTCCAACGCTCATCCTGTGCTCAGCTTTACCCCCACCGATGGTGAGGCCCTTAGAATGTGTCCTGAGAAAACAGATATTTCTTGGGACTAATCTCTCCTTCTTGGGGAAGGCAGAGGGTAAATAGGAGGCTGCGGCTTGGGCCAGGAAAGTTGAGAGGGCCCTGGGGCCCGTGGATGTGCACGGTGCAGCAGGAGAAGCAGAGCCTGCCGGGGCCAAGTGAGAAGCCACGGGTGGAACCGGGCCTGTTCAGGTCAGAGCGGGCAGGGCTCAGCAGCTTCACAAAGCGCTTGAGAGATGTGGGTGGGCAGGGGCTCGGCCTGTCCCCTGAGACACCCCTCACCTCGGGCAGCACGAGGCCCAACAGGAGCCAGACAGACAGATTTCACCTCGAATAAGCCCCGGCTTCCTGAAGCCAAAAAAGGCCTGCTCCTCTAGATAGTGGAACATTCTGGCTGTGGTCAGAGGAGGCTGGGGGCCACTCCTTCGGGGCACTGACTCGTTCATGATTCGGGGTGAAGTTCATACCCACAGCCTCCTCCCTGGCCACAGGTTATCAACAAATGTGGGGCATGTGGAAGATACCCCCACTCCTGGGCCTGATCCCAGACATATGCCCCCCACTCCTGGGGCTGATCCCAGACATACCCCCCACTCCTGGGGCTGATCCCAGGCATAACCCCCCCACTCCTGGGGTTGATCCCAGACACATACACCCCCTCAGTCCTGGGGCTGATCCCAGACATCCCCCCGCCCCACTCCTGAGGCTGATCCCAGCCCCAGCCTTGCTCAGCTGTGACCTCAGACAGGGTCCCTAGCATCTCTGGGCCTAGTTCCCTCCCCAAAATAAAGGGTCTACCCAGAGGACCCATATGCCCTCTCGGCTTCTATGACACTTTTTCTGATCTGCTCTTCCTCCCAGGTCCTTATCCCCACGACCCGATGCAGCTCTCACAAGGAGAACATCCAGGGCCAGCTCAAGGTCCGCACACCGGGCATCTACATGCTCATCTTCGACAACACCTTTTCCAGGTAGGGCCACCTCACTCGTCAGCATCCGGAAGAATTCACCTGCCACCTGGCCACGAGAACAGAGCTGGACATTCAAAAGAGACTATTTAATTATCAGTAATTTATTATTAATAGTTTTTTTTTTTAATTTTAGAGCCCTATACTGCGGTGGTCTAGTGTGTGTTACAGGTTTTATAAGACACAGGCTACTACTTACACAGTCTTAGCACATGTCAGGTGAATCCTCGGACCTCCGCTCTTACTGACTCACTTAAGCCCCATGGCACGCCCATGTCATAGGAACTACCATTCTCCTCGTGGCGCCGCTAAGGGACTGAGGGCCAAGGGACTGATCCCAGGTCACACAGCTCGTAGTGGTAGAGCCAGGTTGGAACCCAGAGGGCCTGCCTCCAGGCTGTGGACTTAACCAGTGTGTCCTCCTGCCTCTCTCGGATGTCCAGGCTCCCACTGCCCAGCCCAAAGGAGGGGCTCAGTAGAAACAGTGGAAGGATGCATGGATGCATGGATGCATGGATGCATGGACGGATGGATGAATACATGGATGGATGGATGAATACATGGATGGATGGATGGATGGATGCATGGATGCCTGGATGCCTGGATGCGTGGATGGATGAATACATGGATGGATGGATGGATGCATGGGTGGATGGATGGATGGATGGATGGATGGATGGATGGATGGATGGATACATGGATGGATGGATACATGGATGGATGGATGGGTAGATGCATAGATGGATGGAAGGATGGATGCACGGGTGGATGGATGCATGGGTGGATGGACAAGCAAGAAATGAAGGCCAGGACTAGAGCTGTGAGAGGGAGCCCCTGGGCCTTCTTGTCATGGCAGCGGGAGCAGTGTATACTGTGTCGGGGAAGCACAGCATCAAAGCACCAAATACAGGTGCAGGAGTGAAGGGCTGGGGGGCAGGAAGTTGGGAATATAGGGAGACAGGCTGGAGGGGCAGCCAAGGAAGGAAGCTGGGAGAGGAACACATGGGTTGAGCATCTGCCATGAGCCTGGGCCCCCACTTCATGAAGACACGAGACAGGGGTGGTTAAGTTTGCTGGGACCCTTCCCTTGGGTTCTTCTGGCTTCAGCATAAGCCCTTTGTTGGGGCCGCCTTTTTAGGAGACCTGCCTGACCAGCACGCAGCCACTTCTTCCCTGAGTGGGGCCCTGAGCTAGCGGCCACATCCCCCCATACGGGGACCCTTCCCAGCCCACTTGGCTTTTGGCGGAATAACTAGTGAGGATACTCTAGGGGAGAGCTGTGCCGCCCCCTCAGCACCTCCCAGCCTTGAGCGCCCAGGGATTGTGGCCAAGCACGTCCACTAAAGGAGGGGCTAAGAGGAGGAGCTTCCCATTCTCCCCCTCTCCTCCCCCTCCCCTGCATGCCCCCATGAGCACAAACATACCTTGAATTAGCTGGACTCATGGGGCACAGGCCCAGCATATTCCAGAGAGCTGCCCTCCGAGTTCTAAGGGCCCCTGAGCCCCATCTCTGCAGAAGCAGTGATCACTGTCACCACCTCACTGGGACTCCCGGTGGGTTATCAGAGAGGCCGAGGGCAGAACGCAGTCCCATGCCCCAAGCAGGCCCCTAGTTCCCACTGGAGGCCACCACAGTGCTGTGACCTACCCCGCCTTACTCTGTGCCGGAGATTTCTAAACCATGGGTGGCAAAATGGCTTTAGGCGCCCAGCGGGGATGAAATCCATACTCATCTCCTCCAGAAACCTCTTCTCAGGGTCCACTCCCTGCGCTGCACCCCCTGCAGCCCCCACATCCCCCAGCAGCTTCAAAGCAGGTGTTTGTGTACCAAGCCCCAGGGAAGTCCGTGCTGACGTCCCAGGACCCCCGGCCCCCTGCTTGGGGGAGCTCTGCTGGGCAGACAGGAAACGGGGTGAGGGGCCCAGGCCCCTGCCCCCACAGAAGGCTCCGCCGCCAACCCGCCCACACGCCCAGCCAGGTCGCTGCAGCACCCCCCCCCGAGGAGGCCCCCCCAGCCGCCGCCGCTGCCCTCCGGCTTTCGGCGCTCCCAGTGACACCCTCCTTTCCCACTTCTGTTTCCTCAGGTTTGTCTCCAAGAAAGTGTTTTATCACTTGACGGTTGACAGGCCTGTGATCTACGATGGAAGTGACTTCCCGTAGCCTCAAGCACCTGGATTGTAGATTCTAATAGCTTCACTTTATCCACAGGAAACACTACTCTTGCTCACCTGTCACATAAAGCACTAAAAAAAAAAAAAAAAAAAAAAAAAAGGCAGCCGCTCCAAATGTGACCAGTGTAGAACTGGGAGATAGGCCTCCGGCCGCCCCTCAAAGCTGCATCGTCTGGAGCACTGTGTACTCAGCACTACGCACCGTCACTCTTAGCCTCTGCGGCTTTTAAGGGCTCAAGCAACATTTCCAGGGATTAGGGACCCAACTGTCCTCACACCCAAAGGGACACTCTGCCGACGGTTTAAACACTCAGGGGACCTTGAACCTCTCTGGAGCCACAGCTGGTTCCCGGCCTCCGTGGAGAGCTCCACAGGCCAGAGTCAGTGACCCCAGCTTCTGCCCGTGGAGAGAAATGCCCCACTCTGCCCAGCAGGGGCCAGGTGTCCTGGGTGACCATGAGCCGGGATGTCCTGGCCAGACCCTGTGAGTCCTCAGGCTGCGAGGCCAGGAAAAGGAGGCCACAGGGCCATCGTAAGAGTCAGGGCGTCCCGGGTGGGGGCGGGGGGGCCTCCTGAAGCCCCAACCAGCCTCTTCCCGTCAGGCCTCTGTCCCTTCCTGCCCCAGTAAATTTAGGGCTGCTCCAAAACAGCAATTTTGGAGGGGTCTCTAGCTGCACTTTCTTCCCGGCCCTTCTGTCTGGGAAGTTCTGTCCTCATGCAAAGCCCTTCACTCAGGCAGTCCCCCGAGTAGTTGAAAACACCGGCCTAGAAATCAGAACTGAAGATGCTCGGGGAAACCAAAGCCAGCACGCGGAGGACGCGTCCCGCAGTGGCTGTCTGCACAGATGGCGATGCGGGGACCACTAAGCAGCACTGTGTTGGCCCTTAGGACTCACTGCTCGGCTGCTGGGCTGTCTCTGTTTGTATAAATACGAGCTTCTGCCTCATCCGCAGACATGTTTACTAATGATCATAATCAGGGTAAGAACCACTTTCCAAAATCGGGGCCTTCTTAAAAAAAGTCTTTGGTAATTCGGGTATAACAGGCATAATTCACGAATTGGCTTTGAGTTCACTTCTTGGTCCCCTCTCCCCACCCGTCTGTTCCCTGGCACCCCTTTGCCCACTTCCTGTGGCTCAGCCTCCACCTGACAGCCGGGAGCCATCTCCCCTTGGGGCCGATGAATCCTGTTTCCCTTCCCTGGCCAAGGAGAAGATGGTCTTCCTGTTGTCTGTGGCCCTTTTCTCCTCCCCACCATAGGGAGCTCACCTTTGATGGCCTCTTGGGGCCTTGTTCACAGAGGCTGGAGCCTGAAGTCAGGGCTCAGACACTTCACAGGTGAGCAGGCCATCTGATGACGGGGCCCACTTTGGCCAAGGATGAGGGAGAGCGCCAGGCAGGGTGTCTGGGGATCTGAACGCAAGACCCAGCCCGTCCCCCAGCTTGCCTCGTGACTGGTCAAGTCCCACCACACGGAAGCTTCATTCCGTCACCCACAGGCTTGGCTGGGCTGGTGTTGAGAGCTCAAGGACAGGTCAGAGCCCCCAGGCCGGGTCCAGCGCAGACCCCACAGCCACCACCCAGCAGAGGGGACTCGTGGGGCAGCGGGGAGGGGGCTCAGAGCTTCCACTCAAATAGGGGACTTGGCCACTTGCAGTCAGTTTAGGCAGGGCAGGGGAGGGGGTGGTGAACAGAACCTTCCTGAGACATTAACGCAGAGAGAAGCTAAACCTCTTGCGCTCTTTCCTCAGAGCAGCCAGCTGCCTCTAGCAGAAAGCCACCGGGGTCCCTAGCATCTCCCAGCCTTGACTGTGCTCAACACCAAGGCAAAAAGCAGCCAGCCTCCCAGAGACTCTCCCTAGCCTCATGCTTGTCCTCACAGGTGTGCCACATGGCCTGAGGATTGTTCCAGAGCAAGTTATCCTGCCTTTGAGCCCACCCTCTCCTCTGGAAAGGGTAATCGGGATGGGTGGTTTACCACAGGAAAGAAACTAACAAAAGAGAACCCAAAGCAGTCTGGAGTCTTGTTTTGAGTACTCTCCCAGGATGCCATGGAGACAGCCAGCCGATGGTATCACCACCATCCTGTGCAGCTAACAGCTCCTGTGTTTCCTACAAAAGGCCTGGAACATTCCATCCAAGCCCCCTGGTGAATCTCTGTCACTCAGCCCAGCAGGAAACCAACTACAGCTTAAAAACCACTTGGCTCCTTCGAAGCCAGCCCAGAGCCACTCCTCCCAGAGAGCAGAGGCCCCTTGTGGTGTGTACCCCCTGGAACATTGGCTACGTTCAGAGGACTGCCCGCTCCCCCAGCGGTCATGTCCTGACTCCGCAGCCTATTTATTTTCATGCTGGACAGACTCTTTTTCCTTTGTTACTTTGCCGTGTGAGCTCGAGTTTGCTGTGCATTATGCAACTAGAGAACATGGTGGCCTATTTCAGCGTGGCTCGTATGAACAGCTTTATTCTTATTTTGAACAGGTTCCCGACTTTACTGAGGTTTTTTGGGGTTGGGGTACTTTTAAAAAAAAATGCAGATGACAATGAAGAGCAACTATTGAAGGCAGTAGCCCCAGCCAGTAGACTGAATTACACTAGAAATCATCAATGGGACCCCAGATCACTATTCAACACAAAACAAAACAACAAAGCAAAAATCCAGCAGCCCCCAGATGGCCCAGCTCTCTGAATAACAGCCGCTCACTTTCTAGCACTGATCCCACTGCCTTGTTCACCTCTGCCTCAGAAGCCACTAATCAACCTTGCCCGAGAACGTGGCCCCTCAGACACACTCACCCGCAGCGAGAAAGGGCGGGCGTCGCGATAAAGCGTGGCCTCTGCAGTGTGCTCGTGGCTGGAGCCCTCTGGACTCCAGGTCAACCGGATCAAGAAGGAATCTGGAACTGAAAAACCCTACCGGGTTTGAAAAGTAGAAAAGGAAAAGCTACATAATACAATGGAAAAATCAAAGGGATGGTTGTTCTGAAATGTTTCAGTTATCCACTCCTTGGGTGGGTAAGCCATTCTAGACTCAAATGAAAGGAAATGCCCATTTGGAGGTGGTATCTCAGAGCCAGTGCTCTATCGGATACTGGTTAGATGGCCGCTGATCTTTAAGGTTTTTTTTAGGAGTTTCATTTCTTAAAGTCCACCTTCGTAACTACACGTGAGAGCCCCCATCCCTGGCTCTGAGGGGTTGAGAGTGAAAGCAAAAGCCGTCGGTGATTCGGAGAACCAGGGGTCGCCTTGCAGACACCCGTGAGCCAGCCAGCCATGTTTACAAAACACTTAGCGAAAGGTGCTTCTTAGTGGAAACCTGGAGAAGTTTTTTTCATTGCGTTGTGATTCTTCCAAGGAGACAGGAAAGACTGAATTAATAATGCCTTTTCCTTCGTAATCGCTTTTTTAAAATAATAAAGTCTATCTTTAGATTTCAGGAGACATGGCCGATGAACAGGCTTCGTCAGAACCTCGTGATGAGTGTTATCCAGGGACGCTCCTGCCTCTGGGGGCTGCAGAGCCACACCCACGCCTCCGCTGGGCGGCTTCCGAATCAGAATTGCACTTTCATTGACGAATCCTCAATTCTCGAGGCCTTATGGGATAGTGGGTCTGGGGACCCATTGCATTCTTATCTGCCAAAGAATTACCCAGAAGCACATCAAATGCCAACACCCGCCCTGCGCAGGGGGGGTGAGAAACTTTTGTATCCCAAAACATATTCCTCTATAGCATCTGCTGCACTCTTTGGAACAGTTTTATTTTTAACCTCAGGATTTAAATAAAGCAAACACTATGATTGGGAGTAGCATTGTCTTTCATTCCACTGGGACATAAGGCCCGTTGATAAAGTTACCCAGACCCAGGGCGCCTGGGTGGCTCAGTCGGTTAAGCATCTGCCGTCGGCTCAGGTCATGGTCCCCGAGTCCTGGGATCGAGCCCCGCATCGGGCTCCCTGCTCCGCGGGAAGCCTGCTTCTCCCTCTGCTTCTGCCTGCCCCTCCCCTTGCTCGTTCTCTCCCTCTCTCTCTCCCTCCCTGCTCCCCCCTTCCCCGGTCAAAAAAATAAATAAAATCTCTTTATTAAAAAAAAGTTACCTAGACCAGACTTGGAGTTGAGTTGCCCTGCCTGGAGATAGAGCATCAGCTTGTACTCTGGCTTCTCAGAAGGGCTCAAGGTTGCCATGTGGCCTGGGATCTGGATACTTCCCCGCCTACCCCGAGGTCAGTGTTCAGACCTGCTGGAGCCAAGGTATCATTCCAACCCACTGCCCTCCAGCACATGAGCTGCCTGGCCCTCCTGGGCTACTCACAGAGCTCCGTGAGCACAGAGCACACTGCTGACCTACCAGAACAGTGAGGTCAGGGGGAAGGTCATGGATGCCCTAAAACCACCATCAGTCAACCTTTGGTACAAAATTGGGCAAGACCACCAAGCCAAGACAGCAGGCAGAGGAAGGAGTCACATTTCCACTGCCACTTAGCTATTCATGCTGGATCAGCAGAGACCAGACACAGACCCAGAGGGGCAGGACTGTCGCTCCTGGACTGGTCAGATTGAACTCAGGCTGGACAGCCCATCCACACTCACGCCACACCCCACATCCAGGGATGATGTTCCTTCCCTTGAGTGCCTTGAGCCCCACAGAACATCCCCAGCCCCCCTTCCCTCCATCTCCCTCCCTTCCTCCTCCACTTGTCCCCCTGTCCTCAGATTCTCATGTGGCCTCTTCTTTGAATCAGTTATGCAGGAATAAGTTATACTTTCTGTACCCATAGCCACACTCTCCCTCGAGAGCAAGGACCGTGTTTCCTTCATCTCCCTCCCTTCCCTCGCCCCCACAGCGTCGAGCACCATGCCAGACACAGAAGTGCTCAACAGTTATGGAATCAGTGAGGATACTGGTCGGTCCCCATGCTGGGTCTGCTGTAAGGCCGTCAATAATCCCATTGGCCAACTTGGCCAGGCACAGAAGCTCCTGAAACTCTCACGGCAGAGAAGGGCAAAGGGCGAGCCTGCAGGGGAGGGTGTGGGGAGGACGGAGGTGAGCTGGTCTCTATCCTGCCCTACTCCGTACCCCTCTCTTGTACTAATGATGCCCTAAGTCGAGCCTCTTACTGTCTGGTGAGCAGGTTGAAGTAATGGAAGGTTGGTTTATCCAAGCACCCAGAACAACGCAGCGGGAGTTCCTTAGTAACAGAAGGGTCCCTCCAGAGACTTGGGAGCCACATGGGCTGGGGGCTGGAACGAGAACCAATGGAGACCCACATGGCTGAGTATGCTGTACCGGAGGCTGGGATCTGGGGGCCTCTGTGTCAAAATCCCCATCACACCCCACCCCGCTCACTAAACCACGGAGTAACCCGAGATGCCCAAAGTCTGCTCCAGGCTCTCCAGAATCGGGGCCCAGCCTAGTGTCTGCAAGCTCCAAGGCCACTGGGGGGTGCCCTGCCTCTCCTGGCACGCTGCCCGGTGGGGCTGGAGGATGTAGAGGTTCCCCAGTGGACTCAGAAAGAAACTCTCGGCAGGTCAGCCCTTTCGGTTTGAAGATGCATGGGAAAAATCTGATGAGAGGAGCTTGCCACCCACACAGCTCTGCAAAGCAAAGAGATGGGTGAAACCTGTCACCCAAGATGAGCAAATGGACTTTTTTTTTTTTTTTTTTTTTTTGAGAGAGAGCAGTTGAAGCTGAAGCCATCAGAAACCAGGGGGAGAGCATAGCTATTATGAAAGCCATTCAAAGTGGGTTAGGGTTGACAGAAAGGTCAGCCTTCTCCGTTTCCCACACCTGTGGTTTCTGGAGGATGGTGAAGCTGAGCACGAGTGTGATCGCCAACCTCTGGCCTTTGATGTCTGTCCGCTGTCCTTCCCCCTTCCTCGAGCACCGGGGGAGGACGGGGCCTGGTGTGGCTTCCTCACACCTCCTGGCACGGATGGACTGCGGTTGTCTCTGACACGGCTGCCCCACCCAAAGCCTGGAATCAACTGTCTTCTTAGCTCAAAAATGAACAAAGGGAGCCAGGCGTCGCCAAACATGACACACGTGAGTGTCCTCACCGAAAGGAAGGCCTCAGTGCTGGGCCATGCTTGACTTTGGCCCTGGGGCTCCCTAGAGTCATCAAAGAGAAAGCGATGTCAGGTCAGGGTCGGGGGGTGGGCATCCCCGGCTTTCTGCTCCCAAGGAGGCGTCTGAGGGAGCCTCGAGGAGAGAAGGAAACTTCCCGGGGAGGCCGGAACAGCCGTGGGCCAGGTCAGTGGGGCAGGCTCTGTCTTCTCCCCAGGGAGGAAGGAACGGGGTGAGGGAGGGGTGCGGGGGACAGAGGATAGGAGAGCAAAGAGGCAAGGAGGAAAGAGGGATGCGTGGGAGGGGCCTTCCCGGAGGCCTCAGGGAGGGCCAGGCCGGAGTCTGGGTTAGCAGAAGTCCCCTTTCTCATCGGCGGAAAAGCATCATGGGGAAAATGGCAGCGTCAGTGTGGCCAAAGCCAATCACCACATCCGGTGGAGGCAGCATTTTAGTGGAAGCAAGACCTGGACGGTTTGCCACACACACAAGGCGGTAGCTGCAGACATGGACAAGGTCGTCGGTCTGCACCTCTGGCTTGGGGTTGGCCTCAGGACTTCCCATGTTCTCACAGAAGGGCCCTGAGGTGGGGCAGCAACCGCAGTTGCCCCCCACCACGAGGCCTCTGCACAAGACACGGGTCCCTATGTGCGGCCAAAGGTCTTCGGAGAGACAGCCCTTCACCAGCTAGGACCTCCGCCCCAGAACTGCGGGGTGTTCTCAGAGGATCACACGTTTACGCCCATATCAAGTCCGGTTCATCAGGCTGCTTCCCTCACAAGTCACCGAGGAGGTCCTTGAAGGTCGCTGCTGCATCCCCGCTTTGGTTAGAACTTGAGGAAAGGGGTAAACCGAGCTCGTGGGTCTGTCCCCAGATTTATTTCCACCAGTGACCCTTAAATCATGGAACCAGGACTTCTCCCTCAGCCCACTGGCCCAAGCACTGGGCGGGGAGGAAGAGGTGGAGATTTCGATCTTGGAGAAGAAACTACTTCTCCACAAATACCTGGAAGGAAATTGTTCTGCGGGTCAGATCTTTCCATGACCACGATTTCGTTTATGGCTTGTTGTGTTTGTCTTCGAGGACATACTGCTAACTGGCAGATCATCTCTAAATGGAAAAACACTCCCTTCCCCAAATCCAAAGTGGTCCCACTCCTGTCCAAAATGTAAGGATTACAGGAAGAAATAGGATTTGGGTACTGATGGATACATGTTGGAGGAGATCAGGTCAAACATGGTCTCCTCGCCTGGTCCATCCCCAGAATTCAGAAGGTCCATGAACGTGGATGGGGGGCAGGGGGGAGGAAACGGCATCTTTCCCCCAACTTCGAACTAAAATTTAGATCTTCCCTCCATGATGAATATAAAGACCATGCCACGCTAGTGTATGTCAGCAAGACCTGTGACTTTGTCACCAAGGAAAAGGACAGACAGTTCCATATGACACAACAGCTATGACTCTCAAAATGCCATCACCACTCTGAAGTGAAGATTGTCGTTAGACCTGCTGGTAGATCCTACGTAACGCATTAATAATAAAAAGGCACATATATGACTAATTCATACATTTGTTCTAATTTTTAGAGAATTGTATCTCAACTGAGGTTTCCTTTGTAATCCTATATATTTTATTTTATTCATTTTACAACATTCTGAGAAGGAGGACAGTAAGCTTTATCTGAGGCCAAAGGAGTACATGAGATGACCAAAAAAAAAAAAAAAAGTTAAGGAACTTAAGGAACTTTGGGTTCTGGCAGGTCTTTATGCAAAAAAAAAAAAAGAGGCAGATCCCCTCATCGCAGCACTGGTTTGTTAATAACAGTCGGTAGCAAATATAATCAATCTCACAGGCTCTTGCCATAAGTCAGCCCGAGCCCCAGGGGAGCTGGAAAGGCTGAACCATTTATAGAGTTTGTTACTCCTACTGCATCGTGTGGAGACAGCTGTGGGAGCAGTTTTCTCTCAACCGGCTTCATTTTACCAGAATGTAGATTATCCAGTGATTTTTATTTTTTTTATATTTTTTAAAGATTTTATTTATTCATCTGTCAGAGAGAGACAGAGACAGAGAGAGCACAAGCAGGGGAATTGGCAGGCAGAGGGGGAGGGAGAAGCAGACTCCCCATGTAGCAGGGAGCCCGATGCGGGGCTCGATCCCAGGACCCTGGGATCATGACCTGAGCCGAAGGCAGACGCTTAACGACTGAGCCACCCAGGCGCCCCTATCC